TCATGCACTTTTGATCATTGCTCATCAATAATTATGCATTTGTTTTGTAAAATAACCAAGTAAACAAATGTTGTTTGTTGTTTCCCTCCTTCCCCAGCTTCTAGCTATGCAGAAGTCCAAGCGAGATACAGTTCACAAGGCATCCACACTATGTAAGTTTCGGCTGCGTGTTTAGCTCTAAGGATCTGGATTCTAGGGTCTAGTCTCATCTAAAATAATAATAATACAAATTCTAATAAGGACATGCGAAGTTAAAAAGTAAAATATTATCAGATAATTAAGTAATACGACATTGTGCAGTTTAGAAAATAAATAATTCATGCGTTAAATTGGAAAAGATTAGCTTCTAATAAAAAAAGATGTACTGCTTTGATTTTATGATCAGTCGACTCATAGCTACACAATGGCGTAGTTTGCATTGGAGACAAAAAGAAACAGCAACCAATAATGTGTATGAGTTAATTCGAAGGGATAGTAAGCTTGATTTCAGGATTCTCAAGAGACGGAAAGAATTTCAGATAGACGAAATAACTGATGTAAATAGATTTTTTTTTAGCATTTTCTTGTTTCGAAGCAGAGTCTCATTTGAAATAGTATTGTAAACTTGCATTGCAAATTTCAGAACGTTAACCGTTGTAGAAAAAAAAATTATATAGTGAGACCTTCGCTTATTTCAGTAGGCAAGATGAGATATGTTCGTGATGAATCTCTTATATTTTTAAATTTTATTTTGTCAGGGGGGGGGGGGGGAACACCAAAGATTAAGTGAAACAGAATGAATATTTTAATATGCATCTTTGTTAGTTATTTGTAAACTATTTTATCAACTTTTTAATTTTTTTTTTTTATTTCGCAGTCACCAATGGAAATTTCGGCAAGAGCAGCCCGTATGAATTAACATCGAATGTCTAGTGAAGAACTCGAAGAAGAAGTCTTTAAATAAAAAAAAAACAACAAAGCAACATCAGCATACTTTTATGTTTAAAAAGGTTGTGTTATCCAATAACAAAAAAAAGAGCGATTATTTCATAAATGGTTATGGATTTGAATTTCCAAAATTTTTACTAATTTCCAAAAATGACGTGTGATTTACGATATTGCTGACTTTTAACAAAAATAGGATTGACATTTTTAAAAAAAAATCCTTTGGACCTTGTTTTTTTTAATTTGTTTTATTAATGTTATTATTATTATTATTATTTCTATTAATAAGAAAGTTATTATTATTATTATTATTATCAATAATAATGTTATTATCATTACAATTATTGTATTTATTTCAAATTGGGAGCTTTAACTTTTCAAGTCTATAGCGTCCACTTTAAGAGCAAAATCAATCCAACGCTCTTCAACTTTTGTCTTGATGGTAAATACTCACCATTGATGAGGTCAAGCCAACATTAAAAAATGGTCAATTTATTTGAATAGTCAACTGCTCTGAGCTAGTCTTCAGACCCATCAGAGGAAGGAGAATGAGACTCGTTCACTCTCATTGCATCTCATTGTGATAACGTCTAAATGGTATACAATTGATAAAACGCAAGGATGATTACTTACTCAACCGACACATAGATTCCATTAGACACCCAGATGCTGTAACATTCTTTTAAATTGTCAACAAGAAGAATCATTTGTGTCGTATGCTTTAATTACAAATGACGGGAAGCAACATGTTGCTTTGTTAAAATTTTATTTTGTAACCTTTTTAAAAAAAAATTAGTATTGCTTTGTAATTTTTAACTGTTATAACTCTATCTATTAAAGTATTTTCGTAAGATAAATTATCATTTTTGTATATGCTGTATTTCCTTTACTTCTGAGAAAGTATTTCACCTTGCAAAATAACACATTGATATATTATGTTGTTAAAACAATTTTTTTTTTAAAAATGTGTTTAATTTTGGTTCACATATTTTGATTTCATTTGAAAAAATGCATATCATAATACCATAATAACATACGATCGACATCAATACAAAAATCTAAACTTTGATTTAATATAATGTTGTACATTTGTATTTATTTAATATTGATATTCTTCAATAAACTCTTTGAAAAATAAAATGATAACATGCCAATTAAATATATATATATATATATATATATATATATATATATATATATATATATATAAAATATATTATATTTTCCATGCGTATGTTTTTAAAGAATATGCTGAGAAATAAAAAAAAAAAACAAAATAAATATATATATATATATATATATATATATATATATATATATATATATATATACAATATATTATACTTTCCATGCGAATGTTTTTAAAGACTATGCTGAGAAAGTTGAGCCATATTAATAAAGGATAGAGAGCGTGGAGACGGGCAGAGAGAGCGAGAGAGATAGAAATAGAGTTAATCACATTCGAAAGGAAAAACTTATACTGAGAGAGAAGGGTACTGAAAGTTCTAAAATGCAAGAAGATATGTATAATAAGGAAACAAGGCAAGAACGCTGGTAGATTAGTTAGAGAACATGATATATATATATATAGGAGAGAGTCCTATAGAGATACTATTAAAATTAGTGTCCTTGAGTTATTAGATTTCGTTTGAATCTACTAGCAGCCAAAACATATGGGCTTAACAAGCATCTCTCTGTTTATTAAACATTAAGAAATTGTACGTCTTTGTTGCTATTTCAGGCTTTTGTGGTGATCAGGGCAGTACCTCTTAAGTCGAAGAGAAGAGAGGGCGTGTTTAACTTACTGTTGTGTGAATTATTTCCATCATGCTGTGGTGTATTATATATGTATGAGATAATTGCATTCTGGATTTGTTAATGGGATATTAATGCAAGCCATACTATTATTGTTGTTGTAGTAAGTGAAGTAATAAAGTACTGTGTAATTTATTCGTAAAATTTACCGTCTACTTCGTTGTGTGACAGGCCAATCGAGTTGAGGAGTGAAAGAAGTGAATTAGTTATTACATTACACAAGAGAAGCCCGCATCCTGAACTATCAATTAAGTAAATTAGTTAACCATGCTACTACCACAACAACAATTAGCATGTGTTACACCATTATATTTTCCTGTTTTTGAATTCAAGTTTAGCACATTTTGTTCTTTATACTTCATAGTACTAAATATAGCGTGGTGGCTGCCTATTGAGTCTGTGACAGAGAGAAATTATAATAAGCCTGGCGTACATCCCTAATTTTCTTTAAATGTGAAGAAAAGATGTGAGAAAAGGAAACATTTTCATTAAAAACAAAAAAAAAGTGGATGACCTATTGTTTTGTGGAACAAATAAAAACAGAGAATGAGGAAGATTATACAAAAGCTCTATTCCTGCACAGGCTAGGACCAGGGGGACTAACTATATACAATGGCATGCCTCTAAAAAGCAGATGACAAATGTAAATGACGTCATAAGAGCATCTGATCATCCTTTCCTTGGCTTAGCTGCTAAACAATAACCATAAGAATTGACAACGTGTGAAAAACGGCAGTGATGATTGGCTACTCTTTATCGTCAAATGAGGAAATTTCTGTTTGTGAAGAGCAAACTACAAAATAAGTTCATACAACATGGAATGATCATTGCTGCCCGGTGAGGTAGCAAGGGTTTGTGCAACCCCACCCCCCAAATGAGGTAGCCAGCGTCACTGCCACCCAGTGAGGTAACAGGTGTTTGTCGTCCCCAACCCCCCCCCCCACCTGGGGGGACAAGGTTCTTCACGCCCCTGCCCCATCTATGGAAACAATCTGACAAGACAATTATACGTTTCTTTAAACATTGTCGTATCCAAAATAATGACGAGGGCCACGGGTCACAGAGGGTCATATTTGTAATAAAGTTGAACTGTTTGCATTTAAATTTCAACCCCCCCCCCCTTTTTTTTTTTCATCCCTCATCCTGTATCGAAATTCCAAGATGAGATGCGGCCATTTCTGAACACAAAATAAAAAGGAGATGCGACCACCTTGGGCGGAATTACCTCCAACGAGGCGCGGGGTCGACACCATACGAATCTTTGAGAGCAGTTCGCGAAAAGCGACATGTGGGGCCATATCCAATTTTGTAAGAACAGACACGTGCCTGAAAGGACATTCAGCAGCAGCGTCGTAAGTACCTGCGCTGGTCCGCACCGTGGTGCGTCCACAGCTTCTCACTAATGATGTGTAAGTTGTGTCTGGGTAAATTCCCGAACGTTGACATCTTAAACGCTTTCCACGGTCCACCGGAATCTCAGGATCCAAACACTGCGTGTCTTTAAATGCGCCTCTTCCCACCTTGATACTCTCAGGAACACTTTTATCCAAAATTACATTTCGCAACATCCTTTCGTAATTATCGACATCTCAATATGTATGATCAAAAACATCGCATTACTACAGTAAGAAAGGCAAGTATGCTCCCAGTACGTCAAGCCAGGTGTAACAATCAAAGGCCATCTTGTAAAAAAAATATATTTTAGGATCAGGGCATGTTCACCAAAGAATGTACCTTTTTTTCTACTGGGAAACCAAACAAAAACCATTATATTAACTTATATCAAAGACGCGAACATGTTTTTTTTTTTTAACCACTGCAATTTGAAATCAAAACTCTTTAAACACTAGAATACTTTATGTTCATTGCAGTTGATCAAAAAAAAAACCCCCCCCCCCCCCCCCACTCTCCTGGATATCTAGATAGAATAAATTTTCTGCCCTGGGGTCTCCATCCTTGCCACTCGCCATATTTACGCATCTGTTTACCGACATCTCTTACCACCCACATTCTCCTCGTATATGAATCAATCAGACTGAACACATGTTTTTAAAAACCCGATAAGTCTCTGGCAAACTGTAGCTCTTGCTGTGTGTAAATCCTATATTCTTGACAACGCAAAGGATAATACTTGAACTTCTTTCTTTTTTCTTTCTTTATCACACAGAGGTCACCCACCAACACCCTTATCGTTGGTATTGTTAAGATAACGCAATTGTGGAGGCCCGGAAAAAAAAAACAAAACAAAAAAAATAATAACACTGTGCTTGAACAACCATCCACTTCTGCTGATAACGATCGGGACACATTATTACCATGCTGGCCCCAGCGTTGTTAAAAAAAAAAAAGATAAAATGTTTAGTGCTGGTTTGAGGAAGCCTAACTGTCTATGAGGATATCATTAAAAACATTTTTTTTTAAAAATCGGATTCGAATCCGCCAAGGTAAAAAGGATGTTTAATGGACGTGTCTTTTAAATTGACATGGCCATTAGATTTTTCAGTAGTGGTTTTTTTTTTTCGTTTTTTTTTTGGTTTGTTTCTTTGATTTATTTCTTGATTTTTGTGTGTGGAGCCTTTTGTCAAGTAAGTTAAAACTACTGTCAGCCGGATGTGAAAATACAAACTAAGCGAACAGTTTCTATTACAATTTAAATGCAATGACGTTTGCTGTTCAAGTTAATTAATTGAAGCGCATATTCTATTTCAAAGACGGTGCTTGAAAATGTGCCGTTCGACAAGGTCCTGTTGAATTAAAGCCATTTGTTAGTACAGCTTTGTGCATTGCGATGAACTTGAAAATGTATATGTAGATTTGAAGAAAAAAAGTCGACTTTCGTATTTGCACATTTATTTTTTAAAAAAAAGAAGACATTTTGTGAGCGCGTCTCAACAAAGGTATTTAAAGTATTTAAAGTATTTAAAGTATTTAAAGTAAAGTATTTAAAGTCTTTAAAGTATTTAAAGTCTTTAAAGTATTTAAAGTCTTTAAAGTATTTAAAGTCTTTAAAGTATTTAAAGTCTTTAAAGTATTTAAAGTCTTTAAAGTATTTAAAGTCTTTAAAGTATTTAAAGTCTTTAAAGTATTTAAAGTCTTTAAAGTATTTAAAGTCTTTAAAGTCTTTAAAGTATTTAAAGTCTTTAAAGTATTTACAGTATTTAAAGTCAGCCAATTATTATTATTATATGTGTTCTTTAAAGATGCCCACATGGGGCAGTGGAGAAGTTATTCAGATTAACATACGAAAATGTCAACCGCATAAATTATTTTAAGATTATATCAAATTGAAACACAATAGAAGCTTGTACAATTTGTGCACTTTAAAAAAAAATGTATCTGTAAAGAAAAAAATACCTCGAGCCAAATTTTGTTTAATTTTGATTTTTTAAAAGCACACATGAATTAATATGCTCATGTGTTTAATATATTTTAGGACATGATCAACACTAAATAATTAAAAGCACTCAGACCGGTTTGAATTTATCCTCATGGTTAAGAGATTCATGGCGGGTATCTGGAGAGCAGAATTTCTCCCGATGGTGATCCTCTTACCGGAACTGGTTTCAGAGTCTTGCGTTGCCGGTCTACGAATCACGAATAATTTTTTTTTTTATCTAATAAAAATTTAATTACATAGATACGGCACCGGTCGCTATTAAAATAAAACTTGGAGATACAATGTCTTAAAGCACGAACGTAGTCTTAACATAATGCTCCCTTGAATATCCTCCCTGATCTTTGCTGTCAATAGTGTGACAAAAAATCCGTTAAAAATATACAACTGTAGTTATTTAAAAAACGAAAAAAAAACAATATCAACATTACACCTCACAGTACTGTGTCATTTAAAACTGATTCAACCTTATCGGTATTTCGACTACGGCGTTGGCATAATTTAACATTGGGTTTTAAGACCTTAATCTACTATCAGGTTTTCTAATGACGTGATAACAAGCTCAGCCAAACAAATTGCTGCATGTGTTGTTGTTTTTGTTAAAGATATTTCATGTCTATCATTAACAATATATCAATAAACAAGGAGACGAATGACTGCCTATCGGGAGACTAAGTTTTTAATATCTAGGACTTTAAGTAAACACAATGACTTTTTAAGTCCAAAAAAAAAAAAATGGGTAAAAAATAAAAATGCAGAGAGTATCGCCAAGCATGGAAACGAAGAGCATCTGTTCGGTTTGAGTGGAAGGATATTTTGCGGCAGGTCCAAGCCCATATGGGCTGTAGGGCCACATAGATGGCAGTAAGGATGTGTTGAGGCAGGCCAAAGCCCCATGTGGGCTGTAGGATCACAGGGATGAATGGAAGGATGTGTTGAGGCAGGCCAAAGCCCCATGTGGGCTGTAGGATCACAGGGATGATTGGAAGGATGTGTTGAGGCAGTCCAAAGCCCCACGTGGGCTGTAGGGCCACAGGGATGGATGGAAGGATGTGTTGAGGCAGGCTAAAGCCCCACGTGGGCTTTAGGGCCACAGGGATGAATGGAAGGATGTGTTGAGGCAGGCCAAAGCCCCGCGTGGGCTGTAGGGCCACAGGGATGGATGGAAGGATGTGTTGAGGCAAGCCAAATCCCTACATGGGCTGGAGTGCCACAGGGATGGATGGATCCACATAGTTCCAAAGCAAAATGTCCAATGTGTGGTCACAAGTTATTATGCGAAACGATACATGGTATGTAATGAGCACCACTGATCTTAAGCCCATGTCTGCCACTGATCTTAAGCCCATGTCTGCCACTGATCTTAAGCCCATGTCTGCCACTGATCTTAAGCCCATGTCTGCCACTGATCTTAAGCCCATGTCTGCCACTGATCTTAAGCCCATGTCTGCCACTGATCTTAAGCCCATGTCCACATTTCTTAAATCATATTCTTACCTACTAAGAATTTTGTAGTTTTAAAAAAAAATTGCTGTTCACTTAAAAAATGTTAACACGCTCGACTTAAAGACTCTATACCGTCAATTTTCGTTTTGAAGGTTGCAACATAGTTTTCGGGTAAAGAATTGTAGCTACTTCTTAAGCTGATATTGAGTTTCTATTTAGAGGATTTACTGTGTTATGATCAAGTGATGTAGAGTTATTGTAATATTTCGTCTCGTTTGTAATTTTTTTTTTTGAAGGATATTTGTTAAAATTAAAAGTGAGAGTGAAATTTTTTTTTTTAAATATGCTGAATCGCATAACACAATTTAGAACGTGATGTAGTTTGCCCTTAAAAACACTGCCTGAAGAAAAGGAGTCGTGCCTCAAACAAAGCATGGGAACCTCTGATATAACATCTTCATTTGCGTTGTGCTATTTTTTTGGATTAAGCTATAAATATGCTACACAGTTCTTTTTTTTTTCAATTAGCGAGATAAGCGTCAGTGCTATCTTGTCCAGCGTCAGATTAAGTGAAGACACTCGTTAAGTCCTGCGACGGGAAAAAATGATCAGACACTAGAAATGACACGTGGAAAGAATGCAACGAAGACTGAAACCGGAAATGATAATATTCTTTAAAAAAAAAGAACTACAACTGTAACAAACTGTAAGCCATTTACATAAAAGTTATCCTAAGCCCAACTACGTTAAATGGATTCTACTGTATAATAATCACACCTTGAAGGAAACCTCGTTAAAACTATTTAAAAAAAACAATATAAATAAAAGATGGACCATTAGCAAAAGTGCAGCCTTCCCTGCAGTTGTAATATCCAATCTGCAATCATTCAATACAATCTATCATTTCTTATGTTTTAGAAAGCGGTTTAGTACTTAATGGAAAGCTTATTTTTAGACACGGTTATTTCATATTTAGTTGTTGTTTTTTTAAAAAATGTTTAGTCATCTAGTATTAAAATATTGTTTAGAATGTAAAAAAAAAAAAAATTAAAAAAAGCAAGCACCACCCCCCCCCCACTTTCTTTTTGCTTTGATTTATGTTACTTCAATACCTACTGCTGATAAAGTTTGAGAGGGACGTAATATATAAATAAAAATAAATTTTTATAATTAAAGATATTGACTTTTTTTTTATACTTCAGTTGACTTATTGGTGAACCAGACATGGCCGCGTCAAGGAACCAGTTAAACCTGGTGGTTCTCAAACTACAGCTGCTGGAAGATGAGCTGGGGAAGCTGTACGAAGGAGTGGAGCGCTACTGTAACGATGTAGGTGTCGATACCCTTGTTGAAAGTTATCTCTTGTATCAACAGTTGAAATGAATGGTGGAGTCGTGCTAAATTCATTGTCAGGAGGTGCTGTACGTTGTATTTGCCAAATGTGCTTTATGAAGAAAAAAAAAATCTAAAATGTCATGAAGCAGAATGAGTTACTGAAGAGGCTGTGGACCGATGCCAGTGTGTTCTTGGAAATAACAGTTTTATTCGCTCTAACAGTATGGGACGAACCGTGGAGAGAATGAAACAATGAAGCGGAATTATGTCCCCTTTCCAGAAGATGAAGTATTTTAAAAAATGAATTTAAGCATTGCGAACACGTTCTCAGCATATTGTAATGTAACTCCGATAAGAAAATACTGATTGAAAATTTACGGATACTATGAAGCATTCTTTAGTGGCACTCGAGCCTAGTTTAATAGAACCACAGCATACTGTAAAAGAAATGGTCATGTTATAAAAGAGCTCCAGTCTAATGTAATGCACCTGCCGCCCATTGAAATAAAACTCCAGCATATTGTAATACAACTCCAGCATTTTGTAATACAAGTCCAAGATAGTGTAATACAGCCCCAGAATATTGTAATACAACTCCAACATTTTGTAATACAACTCAAGAATAGTGTAATACAGCCCCAGAATAGTGTAATACAACTCGAGCCTTTCGTAATACGCTACAGGCGTTTACAAATAGCATGCTGTTCTCACAACCAATAAATATTGGGTTCGCAAACTCTAGCCCATACACATTTTCATCCGGGCCACCTGGCTTCAATTGGCTTAAATATTGCTGTCTTAACAGTTCCATATGTCGTGTAGACATTTATTTGGTAACAGCTCGACATTAAAACAATATACAAGAAATTATATTTTGTATTTAAATTGAACAATTAAAACAGTCAAGCGATATTTAAACAAATTGTTCCAGATTAATTATCATATTAAAATGTGTATTCAACAAATTATTATGTTTTTCACGGTGCCCTGACGTGAAGAGACCCTTACGCCAACATATTTTATTGGATCATTTTATTTAAACAATAATAATTAATATATTTTTTTATCGATTTTTAGCCACTTGAAGTAAGGGGCGAGTTCAGTTAACACGGCAGTGCATGTCCTCGCGGTCATTGTTTATTTAGTGAAACCATCACAAACTTAACATATGCCAAATCGTAACTTTTCACGAATGTTAACATTTGTTAATATGGTTCAAATTAATATTGTAACTATGAAACTAATCTTCCGGCTTCTGTACTATTTTTTTTTTTTTTTTCCCCCCCCCCCCCCCCTCTTTGGTTTCTAGATCATCAACAAGGGAGCAGAGAGCATCAGTAGGCGAGGCACACGAGACGGAGCCATCAACGAGTTCCTCGTGGCGTACGAACACACTCTGAGATTCATCAAGGAGAAGATCAAACAGATGGAGAAATACAGTAAATTCACTTCTTTGGGTTTTGTAGGAAACACTCTACGTAGGGAAAATGTACTTGGAGGCAGCGGTCCCACACCAGCAGCCATTTTGTTTTCTATATATTAAGTGGCGGCGCTGGTTGTTGTGTTTTTTTGGGCCTAGTGCAAAAAAAAATATTTTTTTTAAACAAATAGAGGTTGGGGGGGGGGTGCGGGGGGGGCAGAGCCTGTTGGATTTTACCAATTACTTCACATTTCTTTTAAAAAATAGTCAAATTTAGGTTTGGAAAACGTTCACTAGTTTAAAAATAAATGACTTTAATTCAAAAAAAAAAAAAATTTAATTCAATACCTTCACCCCCCCCCCCCCATTTTTTAAAAATTTAACTTAAAAGCGTAATTAAGCGCGAAAAAAAAAGACACGAACAGTCTAGCTTTTTTTGAAAATATATTAAACAAAGATCTGGTATGTTTTAAGTCAAGTAAAACAAAAAATTCTGGGGGGTAAGCATCTTTTAAAGAAATTTTGGTCATAGGTTAGTTATATTGAACTTTAAATACACAAATGACGCTAGTTCGTTGTTAAAAAAAACAAAAAAATCAACAACACACAACACATTTTTCCCCGTCCCTCAAATCTATCCTTCTCATTGCAAGTATATTCTTAGCAGTGTAAAAAAAAACGATTTTGTAACAAATTATGTGTAGCATTGTATGATAATTATTTCACCTTAAACATATTATAATAAATAAATGTTTTCAGCAAGGGTCCCGCGTATAACGCAGCGCGTGTCCAAGACCGGGCCCTCAGAAACTCCGATGTTCAAAGTCATCACCAACCTGGAGACATTACGTGACCTCAAGCGGCAGTTTCATCAAATGATAACAAACCTATTATCAGAGGTCAGTGGGTCATGGCGTTGTTCAGGATCTGAGTGATATTTTTTTTTTTTTTTTTAAACTCTAGAGCAGTGCTTCCCAAACCTTAATTTCTTCTGTGGACCCTAATGATTAAGTTTCACGCCCTAAAAAAAGAAAATACTTATTTTTTACTGCATATATATATATATATATATATATATATATATATATATATATATAATTTTATAAAATAAGCAAAGCAATGTTTAGAAAAAATATAGAATGCATCCTGGTAATTTAATTTATCAATATGAATTTTAAAAAAAATAAAACTCTCGTTTTAAAGTGAAAAAAATTATTATTTTTTTTAAAACTTTAGATGATGTCTATGGGCAAACGGTTCATAAAAAATCAAGATCCCAAGCGACTTAACCACGACGAACAAAAATCATATAAAGACAGAACAACATCTGGGCTCTACGCTGACCGACTTGATAGCGATACGTTCATGGAAAGTTCCATTCCACGTAGGGCGAGTCTGGACGTTCGATCGAGCCGAGATAAACAGGTCCCCGTGTTTGACTCAAGGAGGGGCAGCCTGGACTTAAGATCGTCCCGAGATGGTCGCAGAACGGGTTTCGATGCACAAAAAGATGTACCGCTACGTTTCAAAAGCGCATTTCAACCCCTTTACCCCAGGCTGGAAACGCAGCAAGAAATTCAAATTCCGAAGGCACAGGTTAAGGATGATCTAAACAGAGCCGGCCAGGACGGTCAGATATCCCTGCTGGACTTACCAAGACTGGGTTTCGCAGAAGTAAATCGTCACCTGGAGTCTTGTCTACTCTTCGTTATGGACATACGACTAGAATTTGGAGGTACACATTTGTTTACAAGTGAATTAATTTGATATAATTTTTTTTTAAATAAAAATATTTTTTGTCTTTCAACCAATGTCTTGAAGAGGGAACCACAGCCCTAACCTTTTTATTTATTTGTAAACAATTTCTTAAAACGATGTGTACGTGGTAATCTTGATAGAACTTATTTTAAATCTCATGTTTTACGGAAGTAGGTTTCTCATTGTCCGTATTTTTAAAAAAAAATTATCATTTATATTAACTTTGCTTTTGCTCGTGGCTGGCACAATTTTCGGTCGGTTAATTGACCTACTTGCCGTCAACCTATCGAGCTGAAACTTGGCACATGTCGATGACAACGTATTCTTTCAAATTTTAGTCCCAACCTCTAAAAATTAGTTTTTTTCATTTTTGTCAAGGAAGGTTGAAGTAAATATTATGATACTGATTTCATGATATATAAATTCCTAAAAATGCGCTAAATGTGATTCTGTAAAAAAGAAAAAGAAACATTGGCGTGTAATATTCTATAGTTTTTTTTTCTAAACTTGTTCTTTAAAAAAATCTGCGGTAGCAAGCCTTGTTTGATGGAGTGGGTGGTGGGGGGAGGGGGGGGGTTGAGGAAGAGCACTAATTGGGATGATCATCAAGAGTGTTACTTGAATGCATGTTTTGTCAAATTTTCCACCCCACATCACATTGATCGATATTACATTAAAAAAAAAAATCATACCGAAAAGCTTTGTTTTTGAGGTTAATTTTTTTTCTCCAAATAATTATATTGGCTATTACTATTATTGTTTTAGAGCACGAGGAATTCAACATAGAGGACGTCCTATCAATGCTTCATGGCGGTGGAGTCAAGCAAATGCTGACATCTACATCCAACTCATCTCCAGCAGCATCTTCTCAACAGAGCCAATCGTTAGGTAAGATGTGCGTGTCTTTTGAACGCTGATGGCGCATACTTAACTTACCTACAGAACAAGGAAAACTTACCCCTTGATACATTATTAAACTCTCAGAAACGATGGCACCACATTAACGATAGTGCCCAATCAGCGACAGTACAATAGAATCGATAGTGCCATGTAAACGCTAGTGTCATGCATCGTATAGTATTATATAAAAGATATTACCACGATAATTCCATTTCAACGATACTACCATTATAAACTATAGTATCCTATAGAGCATGTTCCTTTAAAGGTAATGTGTGTCTTCTTTTAGTGTGTTCTTTTAGGACCGAAGTGATGGTGTCACAATGCTCTCACCGTGTTTGTGCATGTAGTGACAGTAAACACAAGTTTGTGACGCAATGTTTAACGCGCATATCATTGTGGGGTAGTTCTGTGTTCTCGTCCACGAATAACATGGATGGATCCACAATAGGGACAAAACTAAGCACTGAGTTCATGGACGGATGATTGATTACTGCCTCATATAATGTTCCTTAAATAGAAACGCTCAAACAATATGCCGTAGCTGTATTTGGTGTATTAAATTATTACATCAAGAAATGGCGTCAGCGGGGCGAGTTTGCACTCTTTATGCCCCCCCAAATTATCCCTCCCCGGCCCAACGTATCGGGCCGCGGAGCGGCACGTTGGAGATGCCCCCTCGTCAGCACAGCCCCCACCCGGGCCCCTTTGGTGTAATAGAAATACTCAATTAAACGATTCTTTACTACTTACTTTAATCCCCAAATTCTTGGCTTTAAACATTTCAGAAAATCTAGAGAAGAGAATAGGGGCCCTGGAGGCCATCGCTCGGGCCAAAACATCAGAAGAAGAACTTGTACCCAAAACGCTTCCACCGGCTGATACAGAAAGGCTCAATATCCCATCGCAGAATTGCGAAGGTTGTGACCTCAAAGTGAGACAACTGGAGGAGCGGCACCGCGTCCTGGCTAAAGATTACGACGACAACATGCCGCTGGTGAAGAACTCGATCGCGATGATCGTCCAGGAGATCGAAGAGCTGAACGAGAGGTTCGATTCGTTCAAGCGAATCTTCGCCGCGAGCAAGTCGGAAAGCCAGCGGATGCTAACCACCATCGGCAGGCGCATGAGCGACGTGGAGTGCAAGGACAGCTCTAAGAGATTAAGCTGCGGGGAGGGTGCGGAAAAAGGAGTTGGCCAGGGGAGGAGGCTGAGCACGCCCGAAGGGAGCACCTCGGATAACGGAAGTGGGGTGGCGCGTGCCGAGGTTACGCTGTCGTATAACGGAGACGACGTCTTTGAAGAGGAAATCAAAAGTCACGCGAACGGCGTAGGTAAAGGAGAGACAGACGTAACACTGAGCGTGAAGAGTGGTGAGGAGAGTGTGACGCGAGACTCGAGGAGTTTACTGGACGTTGAGGAGAGATTGCTGGCCAGATTGAGAGAAGAGACGAAGAAGGATTTGTCGGGGGCCGTCGAGCATATTCAGGAAATTGATGCGAAGGTAAGACTTTTTTTTAGGGTGAGGGAATAGCCGTCTATCCTTTCTATTGCCATTCCTTGTAAATAATCGATAGTTATTAATTACGATTAAAATAAGAATAATTATTGTATAAAATAATTGAAGTAAATAGCAAAGCAACCAATTTATCTTTTTTCTTTTGGTTGCTGATTCATTACAAGGAATGCCGTTACAAAGGCATATTTATATATATATNATATATATATATATATATATATATATATATATATATATATATATAATTTTTGTAATAAGTAAATAATCTAGGTTATTTAAATATCCAAATAAAAACAACATACCACTGTAAATCTTAAATGCTTGACCCAAATGGAAAAAAAAAAAAACTTCATACATTTCCTGGTCAAGAAATCACAATATATTTTCATGAGAGATTTATTGAAACATGACGTTGTGCGCTCTTGAAATAAGAAAGGTATACCGTCAAATCACTGACAACGCAAATCGATGAGAAACTAGCGTTAGCGATAATCACATGTTAAAATTCTGCCGACGATAACAAGACATGTTAATACATAATTTAGCAAACTTTTTTGGAAATGGCTACCTAAAGCCATTTTCTTTTGTGAAAGATATACACTGTTGTACTGATTTAATGTTTAGCTGACTGTTTTTTTTTTAAATGTGTTATTATTACAAACAGATCTTATCATCAAATGTTGAAAACTACGATTAAGCATAAGTGGTTTACCTGGTTGCGTGTTGAGAAATATCACAACACAATGACACAACTCTCAGGCCATCGACCAATCAAGGGGGATTAATCACGTTGTAAGTGGGGTGGGGGGGGGTTCTTTACAGCATTATCTACCCTTTATTGTTTTGTTTTTAAAGAAATGCAGTTAATTGATCCCCCAATCTCCCCCGCCCCCCCTTTTTTTTTCCCTCACCAACAGCTTAATGCACTGCAAGAATTACAAAAGGAGTTGGTGGAAAAGATATCTTCTTCGTGTAAGTATTTACAGATCACAAACCTAAGTGACAAATAATGTTTAATGGATAATATTTAAAATAATGTTTTGTCGATCCTTTGTATAGTGTGTGTGTGTGTGTCTGCGTATGTGATATCTTGTTACTTTTTTCTGCTTAATTTGTGTCATAATAGAAATGTTCACTGTAAGCCTATACATGCCTTGGTATCTGTCGTCTCCTAACGTGTTCTGAGTTGTTGTTTTTTTTTATTTGGTTATTTTAATCATGTCTGCTAACTTCTTTTCTTTCTTCCCTTCCTCTCTGCCAGCGGTGCTCAAAGAGCCTTTCACAGACAACAACAAAAACATGAACAACTAAATCAAGAGTGGTGCTCACGCCGTCGTGAGAGGGTTCTTTCGTTGGGAGTGGCATTACTTAAAGTCCTGTGCAAATTGTCCTATTTATCTCAACAACAACAAAAAGACGTGGCGGTGTCTTACAGCAACAAACAAGGATAAAATTAACATGTGCCCAACAACAAACATGTAGCCCACTATAAACATGTAACATTCGAAACATATGTAGCCACTGCAAACATATAGCCCACTACAAACATGTAGCCCACTACAAACATGTAGCCCACTATAAACATGTAGCTCACTATAAACATGTAGCTCACTACAAACATGTAGCCCACTACAAACATGTAGCCCACTACAAACATGTAGCCCACTATAAACATGTAGCTCACTATAAACATGTAGCTCACTATAAACATGTAGCTTACTACAAACATATAGCCCACTACAAACATGTAGCCCACTATAAACATGTAGCTCACTATAAACATGTAGCTCACTATAAACATGTAGCTCACTATAAACATGTAGCTTACTATTAACATGTAGCTTACTATAAACATGTAGCCCACTACAAACATATAGCCCACTAAAAGCATATAGCCCACTATAAACATGTAGCTCACTACAAACATATATAGGAGTATTACTTTTTTTTTAAAGAAGAAGAAATGAAAATAAACAAATTAGATTATATATGTGTGTGTTTGATAGGGATAGAGAGGGAGAAGGGAGATAGAGAGATAGATTTTAAAAAATATATATGTATATATATATATATATATATATATATATCTATATATATATACATATATATATATATATAGAGAGAGAGAGAGAGAGAAAGAGAGAGAGAGAGAGAGAGAGAGAGAGAGAGAGAGAGAGAGCGACAAAAAGAGAGAGAGAAAAAAAAAAAAAAATATAATATGTGTGTGTGTTTTTTTTAAAGAAGAAGAAATGAAAATAAACAAATTAGATTATATATGTGTGTGTTTGATAGGGATAGAGAGGGAGAAGGGAGATAGAGAGATAGATTTTAAAAAATACATATGTATATATATATATATATATATATATATATCTATATATATATACATATATATATATATATAGAGAGAGAGAGAGAAAGAAATAGTAAGAGAGAGAGAGAGATAGAGAGAGAGAGAGAGAGACCGCCATTAAAATAGCGAGAATCGAATAAAATACTGTATTATATGTGTTTGTGACCAAATAGTCCTTTTAACTGTTTTAAAAAAAATTCTTATAATGTCTTAAGACCTTTTAAACATTTTCGTGATGTCCATTGTATTGTTTCTAATGATATTTTTTTTTGTTTTCTTAAACCATCTTGAGAGCTATAAATTTTGTATTGATCGATGAAACGGTTGGTGCATAGTTCTACTTTAATTCATATGTACCACTAGGCTATAGATATTAAATACATATATTATAAATATTTGCATTTTAAACTTAACTGCAGTGTGTAAAATTTGGATTTGTTATTGAACATGACAAACATATATTAGTTGGATTTTTTCCAACTTTGAAAAATAAAAATGGATAGGACATTGAGAGCTACATGTTTTTGTCAGTTGATTTGTATCAAAAGAAGTGCAACACGTTTAAATAAGTAAAATGGAACATGTTTTACACGTACTATTTTCAAATAAAATGACAATTCTCAATATTTAAGAAAATAAATGCAAACACGTATGTAAATAATATGACTATTTGTTAGTTAATATGAAAAAAATATAGCGTATGGACTGTTCGCATTGTCTTTTGTCAAGACATCTGTAGTCTGGAAGTCTGGTATTTGTGTTGGATAATCAAGGCGACACCACTGTAGATACAAAGAACTGCTTCGAAAAGAGTCAACATTCTTCAACATGACCTTCGGTGAAAGGGAAATACTGGATCTTGAGTATGATGATGATGGCGATGTACAAGCTGCGCGAAAGCCAGAGTCAAACAAGACATCTTTAAACTGAAGATAAAATGGATGGACGTGTCGGCGAGATGCCCCCCCCCCCTTTTCAGCAGACAATACAAAACAACATCAACAACAACAACAAAACAACATATTATTTGAAAACAAAGTTCAAAATCTTAATCTGATGTTTTATAAAAAATTGCATTGAAGTCAATGTAGCTCTCTACATTAGTAGATGTTGCACATTTACACACCTACATAGATAAAAATTAAAAAAAAATAATTAATGTGTAGATAAAACTTCATAAGTCATTTGCTTTTTTATCTTCTGCTGATACCACGTTATGAATACCGCATGCGTCATATCTCCGTGTAATATCGGACGTTGTTTTTTGTTAGGTGGGAGAGGTGCAGCTACTGTCCTGTTAAATTACGGGACTCCAGAATAGCACAGGTACGTGTTTAAAAGTACATCTTAACAGCTTCAACAAGTCTTAGTTGTAATACATGATGTCTATCTATTTTAATCTTATGAATAGTGTTGTTCTCTAGAAAAGTAATATCTTTCATTTATATGTATGATCCCATGCATTGTCAACAGCTGGTACAGTAATTCGTGGATAAAATAAAGTCAAAATGGCCACCATTGTTTTAACTGGTGTGTGGTGCAGCAGTGGGTAGTGAGATTAAGATTAGACCATATTGCACATTCTGAGCCCAATTCTACCGACCGCCAAGCCTGGGCTACTGAAATCATAAAGAATAGCTGGTCTTTACAATTCAATATACAACGGTTTTACACTGATGTCATCGTTTTTTTTTCTGTATATCAGTCAAAAACCCTTTTGCAAAGCTCAGCTTTGCTCACATTGAAGTCTGTTTTAAAACATGCTAAACAGCATTACATGAAATTCTTCTAAAAATATCATATTTCATTGGTTTTTAATACTAATGCTATTGATTGAGGACTGTGAGAAAAAAATTAATTAACAAGGTGCGTTTTTATGAACAAGTGTCTACTTAGGAATACCATGCAAGCATTGAGTGATAGCAATATCGGCCTACGTCTTTCGTGTCGCCTGTCATGTTATCAGAGAACCATTTTGGCGATAACACCAGAAAAGTTCGAATGCGTGGGTTTCAGGATCATTGTTATGTGTAAATTAGATTTTATATATTCGCCTGAGTTGAATGCCACTGTGAATATTGTGTTACCTTTCATGCGTTAAAATCCTTAACTCCAGTTCGACCACTCATTTATAAGAATTAAAAATAAAACAAACCAAAAAAAAAAAATTAAACAAATAAACGAACATTCCAAGATGTATGCCATGGTAACATTGCATCAAACTTGGGGAAACATCCTATGCAAACTTTTTTTATTCTTCTTTCTCATATTTCTTTAAAAAGCACACAATTATTTTTACAAAATTAAAAATATTTTTTTTTTTTAAAGTTACTTTTCTCTTTGGTGTAATAAAAAAAAGGCATAGTGTGAACCTCACCCCTTCTTCATTTACGGTTATTATTCCCAAAAAATTAAAAAATATTTTTAAAAATTATAATAATAATAAATAAATTTAGACTGATTGATAAAGTTTTCTTCACTATTTGTGTTATCGTCGCAAATAAGAACAAATTTAGATCTCTATAACTATCAAAACACTCTTACAAGCTTTTTTACGAAATCAGTCTCTGCTCTCCGAATCTTTTAATATTTTTTTTTTAATTTTCTTGATCCTCAGTAATACATTTTTTAAATGTTTCCCATTTAACAAGTCCATCAACGTTAACTAGAGCTCAACAATTTTTTTTTTTAAAATTATGGTAAAATACATATTAAAAGGCGAACAAATTGAACAATACTCCATCACTTTAGAAGCATTTTATCGATATTCAGAGTTAGACCAATTTTTTTTTTTTTTTGCTGGGATGTGACGATGGGGTGGTCTTCGGAGGAATAAACCCACATGGCCTGGGATTATCTTCCATTAGACCAGTGGCTTCAGTTTAAATGAAACAACCCCATAAAACAAAGGGGGTGTTTTTTGTTGTTGTAAAAGTCCTTTTATTAAAATGTAATATCCAGGAATGAACATTTGACACCACATGCATACAAGTAACGCACTTGAATAAGAATCTCAAATAATAATGCTCTCCCCCTCCCCCTCCCACCCCCAGCCCCCACCCCACCCCCAACCAAGGCTCGCAAAGGCACATTTGTTTCACACCCCTGAATTATTGTAATATTCTAAAGACCCGCCCGCTTTTACGACGCATATTATTTTTCAACGACTATTTTAGATTTAAAAAAAAAACATATTTCACAGAAAAAACTTCCAAATTTAAAAGAAAATGATTTATTGCAGTCAACTGGAATTTTATTTCATGAAATCGGTGTCATCATATTTCCCTCATCCTCCCCTTGAAAAACAGGAAAAACTGATTTGTGTGTGTGTGTGTGTGTGTGTGTGTGGAGGGGAGGGGAGGGATAAAAGTTTGAAAGAATATGTTGTCATGGGGCAAGTTTCAGTTAGATAGGTTGACTGGGAAGAGTGTCCGTTGGCCGTCCGAAGGTTTCGGCCGACCCGCCAGAAATAAACACACGAATTAAAGAGAAGCTTATCTAAATGGATTTAAAGAAACAAATTTTTCACACGAATTTCCAATTCAAGACAGCCACTAGCTTAAATAGTTTAATTAATTAATATACTTTAACACATTTAAAAAAAAAAAAGAGTACATATTTTATTTTTAATGCCTGACTTAATATGTTTAATAAATTAAAGTCATTTTTTTTTAAAGATTAGCATACAAACATACATGTTTTTCCATTTGATAAAAAAAATATTTTTTTTGGAAGTCTCTGTAAAATTCTTTCTTTTTTTTAAACCTTCAGTTTTACAATCAATGAGACAGGTTGACCTAAGATGACGGCGACCAAAAACCAGGTCAGCCTGGTGGCATTGAAGCTCCAGGTCCTGGAAGATGAGAGGAAACAGCTCCACGAGGCGCTCGATGCTTACGTCAACGAGGTCAGACTTTTTTTCAAATCTACTGGTTTTTTTTAAAGGACGCTTTTCTGGATATGTCATACCTAGACTTAAAAGCGGACCTAGACTTAAAAGCGGACGTGACTTATTACATGTATCATGTATATAACGTTGTCTGCGAACTTCAAAAGTACTACACGGTATATACGCCCACTTCCAGACACTTTCTAGGTTTTGCCACAGACTGACAATGGGCGAGATGCTGATAAGGTTATTTTGTTTAAATCATTAAATCCTCATGAAAAGTAAATTGCGTCTTTTTTTTAGCAATTACTTTAAAAAAAAATGTTTAAAAAAAAAAAAAAAAAGTAATTTGTAATATGAAGTTATAAGTTTGATAACACATTAAATGCCTTCAGGGATGATGCGAATCTACTTTTGATAATCTTTTTAAATCATTAAATCATCATGAAAAGTAAATTGCGTCTTTTTTTTAACAATTACTTTAAAAAAAAATGTTTAAAAAAAAAAAAAAAAGTAATTTGTAATATGAAGTTATAAGTTTGATAACACATTAAATGCCTTCAGGGATGATGCGAATCTACTTTTGATAATCTTGAATAGCAGCTGACGTCTATTTAAACACCAGGTTATCTCCCTCGGGAACACGTTTGTGTCTACCGAAGCCAGTACAGGGGCCAACTTTAAGGATGTCAGCCAGGCCATTGAGAGAGCGCTCATGTGTGTCATGGAGAAGAAGCTTGATTACAGGCGTGAGTCCTTTACACATCAACATGATTTGTAGACATGCTTGTGTTGTACTCCTTGAGGATGACTTACTTCATCATAGACTTGTGTAGATTTGAAAAAATAACATGCGTGTTTGATGTATACATATTTAATTAGACATGGAGGGGGAAATCGATTTTTTTTTTAAACAGAGGGTAACATTAAAAACAAAAAACAAAAAATGGAAAATTTTCTCGTGTGGGCCGCATGATAATTGTGTTCGATTCTAGGGAATCAAATGCAAATCTTTTGTCACTGATCATTGAAAATTCATTTTGAGATAAGTTGGAACGTAAGCAGTCATATTGTTTAAATTGATCTGTAACTTTCTCTTAAAATAATGTGACATTTAAACCTCACTATGATTATTTATTTGCCAAATTAAATGCTTTTTATAGATAATCATTCACAATTTGCACAGATTAGGAATACACGTATCCATTTCCCGGAAGGTCTTGCGGGCCGAATTGAATATTTCAGCTGGGCCCGTTTGACCCGCGGGCCGAAAGTTGCCGATCACTAATATGGATAAATCGAAGCAAAACAAAATTGTAAAAAAAAAAAAAAATTTATGAACGAAAACTGGAAATTCAATCGGAAGGAATAGAAAAATAGAAATTGTATTAGAAATAATAATGTTACTTATTACCAATGTGTCAGTTACGTTATTTTAAAATATTGGAAGGTCTTGCGGGCCGAATTTAATATTTCAGCTGGGCCCGTTTGACCCGCGGGCCGAAAGTTGCCGATCACTAATATGGATAAATCGAAACAAAAAAAAATTGTAAAAAAAAAAAAAAAAATTTATGCACGAAAACTGGAAATTCAATCGGAAGGCATAGAAAAATAGAAATTGTATTAGAAATAATAATGTTACTTATTACCAATGTGTCAGTTACGTTATTTTAAAATATGTATATCTATATCAGCAGCTCAGAGTACGCCGCCAACTCCTGACGTCACAGTCCCGCCATTGTCCCCATCAGTCGCACCATTAACAGAACAGATGACGTCACAGCGCTCTTCAATATTTGCCTCAGGTATGATTTGTTGTTAGATAACATTTTAAATATATATATATATTTTTTTTTTTTCAAGCGATTTTAATATTCTATGTTCAATACAATGCTTTTAATCATTGATCAAAAATAAAGATTAAATTAAGCGTATTGTACGCTGCAACTGATCATATTTATGTGTTTTCGGTGTTGCAGACAAGGTCTTGACGTCTGTCAAAGATTACATGGACATCCTAGAAACGCACGTCCGATCCAACGCCTCCAAGACCGACGTGCTCTCGGCGATGATGCCACAAATCTTGGAGGAGATCAACGCCCTCAAGACGCAGATGGAAGGGATGGAGCCATTCAAAGAAAGACTGGAGCACGTTGATCGGAGAGTGGAGTCCATCGAGAAAGACGACAGCGTGGCTGTGATCAAGTCGCAGCTCTCGGCCATCGAGGAACAAACGCTTGAGATCGACGCCAGACTTGAGACGCTGCGAGGAGAGTTCTACGACAACAAGGCAGAGAACGCGGACAAAATTCAGAAAGTCGAACATCGTATTGAGGATTTGGATAGCAGGGAAGTGAAAACTGTAGCATCCGTGGCAGATTTGGAGAGCAAGCTTTCCGCAAACACGGGAAATATCGGCATCATCGGCACACAATTGGAGGATAAGGCCAGAGAGGTGGACAAGATCGAAGAGCGACTTCAGAAGTCCGAGAAGGAGTTGGTGAACATAAAGCGGCTGAGTGAGGACAGGTATGAAAAAGACAGCGCGACGCTAGCGGAGATGGAAAATCGTCTGAGGAGACAGGAGGAGAAATGGACGGACCGGGAGATGAAGAATATCAGGAAGATAGAGGACAAGCTGCAAAGACTGGATGCGGAGAGGAAGAAAGATATGTATTTTATGGGTGAAAATGTAGATAAAATTCTTACAAAGGTAATTTGATTATCACAAAATAATATATTAGAAATACAATGGCGTTTTGAATTTTTTAAATGTTTTGACACATTTTACAAATTATAGTTGAAAACGATTTAGTTGGTTGTTTGTAATATTTCAGGAATTTCGGCAAGCACTTTAAACATAGTGTAAGAAAATACGTATAAATGTCCCATTTCCTAGTGCAGCTACTTGAAGCAAGAAGAAACTATATTTAATTATATGCATTTGATTCCCATGTTTTGAAACAAGATTTCTCTATTTTTTTTTTAAATTTTTTTTTAAATTATATCTCGAGATTTTAAAGATTAGATTACTCTTTTAAAAAAAACAACAACTAATTCCTATTTTGGTAAATTAAATTCAGATTTATAAAATTAGATTCCCATGTCATACGTAAAATTACGTTCTTTTTAAAATCCCATTCTTATTTCTTGAAGCAAGATTTTTCTGTTTAAAATAAAACTCCGATTTTTTTTACATTAGATTGCCATTTATAACAAACTCCAATAAAAAAGAGAATTTAAAAATTAGCTTTTAAAAAAAAAATAGTTTACCATTTTATAAATTATGCTCCCAATTTTAAAACAGATTTACGATTGTTTTAAATGGAGTACCATGTTAATAAACATAAGATTTGATTCCCATTTAAAAAAAAATAATTTCCTTTTTTTAACGTATGTTCCATTGAAGATGCTTCAATTATAATTAATAATTTTTTTAAAAATCGTAACACTATTTTTAACAGTTGTATACCCTTGATGAGCAACCAAAACTGAGGGTAAGAATAAACATAGGTGCACAAACATTTTATTATTATTATTTTCTTTTGGTTGATATTTTGAATGTAGATCATGTTAATGTACACATGTGATTTTTTTCCCTCAGTTGGATGGCGTAAAGACAAATGAGAACACATTAGCAACAAAAATTGATACTCTTGGTAAGTTATTTCTCTAGCAACAACAAAAAACGACAATAGCTGTTTGAAATTAGGATTTAAGTATGTACTTATTTGCTTATATTAAATACTCCAGACATCAACGTCCGGGTAACTGTTTATCTAGATACAGAAAACTAATTATTTATTAGTGATTTACCTATCTCGAATAAATATACCCTGTCCCGTAGATATAACATGTCATTATTGGAGATATACAAAGCCCCTATATACGAACATGCGCTCTCCTCAGAGAAAAGACAGAAAAGACCGCTGGGGTTCACCGCCAAGTTGTCCATCTCGTTCACCTCGCCCATGAAGCGCTCGGTCCTCAGGGACTTCACGGACATCGTCACCAACAGGGGCGACCACTTCCAGCCCCAGACGGGCGAGTTCACGGCCCCGGTGGAAGGCCTCTACCTCGTCTCGCTCACTCACCGCCAGTGGCAGGACGGCGAGATCTGGCTGGTGGTCCTGCTGTCCCCGAACCCCGGCCCCGGGGGCGGGAAGGAGAAGGTCGTGTGCGAGACCCGGACCGACGTCAGCCGGACGAGCAGCACCAGCGCCAGCATCGTGTGGATGAACGCGGGTGACAAGATCTGGGTCAACGTGAGGAATGTCAAGGGCACTGACACCTGGATAGACGCGCCCTCAAGCTTCTCTTGTTTTCTGGTCGCATAATGTCTGTAAAGTCACATTTGTTTAACACAATGTCTGTAAAGTCACATTTGTTTAACATAGTGTCTGTAAAGTCACATTTGTTTAGCATAATGTCTGTAAAATAACATTTGTTTAGCATAATGACTGTAAAGTCACATTTGTTCAGCATAATGTCTGTAAAGTCACATTTGTTTAGCATAATTTCTGTAAAGTCACATTTGTTTAGCAAAATGTCTGTAAAGTCACATTTGTTTAGCATAATGTCTCTAAACTTACATTTGTTCAGCTTTTTTGTAAAGTCATATTAGTTCAGCATAATGTCTGTAAAGTCGCATTTATTCAGCATAATGTCTGTAAAGTCACATATGTTCAGCATAATGTCTGCAAAGTCACATATGCTCAGCATAATGTCTGTAAAGTCACATTTGTTTAGCATAATTTCTTTTAAGTCACATTTTGTTGAGCATACTAGTTTATTAACTTCAGATTGATAACTTAGGTCATTAGGTTGAATATCCATTGAACATTTTGACATTTTTTAGCATTGCACAAAAGTGTGCAGATGTTATGGGTGGGTATTTTTTCTTTTAATAATTTGTCCATTCTATCTGCTTTTTAAAAACGTTAATTTTATATACTTTTTACTAATTTTGACACTTCTATTGCTGCCCACAGATACTACTTGCCAGCTAAGTGCTATTTCTTATTTTTATTTTTATACCGTTTTCTCTGTTGTTTTGTTCGCTGACGAAGGCTTTCTGCCGACACGTTCGCTGTTTTCTTGCGTTTATTTTTTCAGGTTTAACCCTACTCTGTTTTACTCATTTTAATTTTAGATAACATATCTCTCTTTTAAATGGAGTTTTTAAAAGCTTAAAGTCGCTAGCATTGCTACAAAGATCATATTATCTTAATTCAAAAAAAAAAAAAAAAAAAGAATGTCTTATTTGGTAACTCTTACATACCGTCTTAAAAAAAGGCTTGATTCGATCTCAATAATTCTGGTCACTCAGAAGTCCGTGTATTATTGTGTTGTGTTATTGTATGTATTTATATTTTTGGGGTAGCAAAACCGAATAGCAATGTTGTGTGCAAAAGACAGAACACGTTTCCTTACTTTGTAAAAGAAATATTAATTGTTGCCACTAATAGAAAAGGAATGCACTTTTAGATCCACTATTTAACAAATATATATATATATATATATATATAAATAGCTTGTTGGCTAATGAGTTAGTTTTAATAGGCAGACATGGGTATCACTCAAAATGTAATATGTATTTCACTAAGTCAGCCGGAAATAACTTAGATTACATCCCAAAAAAGGGACGATCAGGTCATTAGAATTCTGGTATTGATATTGCAACAATATTTAGCACACATTTCTAATACTACGCTTTTATCGTTGTGCTGGTTGTCGTAATATTCTAAAATAGAAATCGCATTTTATTTATCATGAATAAAGTTAAATTTTCATTTATTTCGTTTATTATACAGTCTAACAAATACGATTTTTTTTAAAGTAATACTCATTATCTCAGAATTTTCAGTTTAATCTTTAATCTTTGATATATTTTGACATATATTATTGTAATACAGGTTCTCCCTAAGGATAACATTAACGATATTAATGTGAATCACATTCCCCCTTCAGTGGATCACGTTTTGTAACGCACATCTCTTGAACTCCAGATTCCGCAGTTTCACATTTTAGTCAAGATAGTCTTGTAAAGACTAGGAGTGCTCTAATTTATTTTGAATGTATTTTTAGTTAAGAAACTGATTCTGTTCACCAGTTCACATACTCAGAAATTAGAATGATTTTTTTTTTTGGAACTGGTGTAGACATTTTCAGTTTAAATAAAATATATCATCTATGGTCACAGTTTCTTTTTGCTTAAATAATATTGCTCGATGCATTAACCATATATTAATATATATATATATATATATATATATATATATATATATATATATATATATATATATATATATATATATATATATATATATATATATACATACATATATATACTGAGAGACAGAGAGGAATTAGAGAGAGAGAGAGATTTAAAACATAACTTTGTTTTACTATTTAAATTTAATTTGTTTTTCTAATTGCTAGTTTTTTCTCTGTACCACAGTCAACTAATTTGCAAACAGACTATCGTAAGTACCAAAACTTGATCTGTGTTCATAACGATATCAGGAATTTAAAGGTAACAATCTCTAAATGTATAAATGAACATCGATTTCCTATGGTTATATTTCGTCCCCCTTACATTGAACATCATTATAGTTAAAAGCAACGATCTGGTTAAAACGTATTTGAAAAGTCCCATTGCTAAAACGTGGTAGCTGGGTTTTTTTTTTTTTAATGTTGACGCACTAACGTGTTATTATCGGTACAATCTGTTATCACAGACTCACAGTTTTACAGAAAGTCTAGACGCTCCTGAGCACACAAGTCCTATAGGATTGTAAAGTGTTCGCCATTGATGTCAATGCCAGAAGTTGGGTTTTCTAAAAACAAAGATTTTAGGAATTAAAAGAATTTATTTATCATCACTTTGAAAAACAATAATTTTGTTAACGGAAACATATATTTTTGAAATATTTATAAGAAATGTAGGAAATGTGAAAGGAAATACAGTGAATTTGAGGGGTTTACCTCAGAACAAAATACTGCAACACGTATTGTAACGAGGATAAATAAATCTGGCCACATCACCCCAGTTCTGCGAGATCTCCATTGGGTTCCTGTGAGTGAGCGCATTAATTATAAAATCCTGTCCCTGGCGTACAGCTGCATAGATGGCTCAGCACTGGAATATCTTAAAGAACTGATTTATAAACATGCACCCTTTAAGAACCTGCGGTCTTCAACACAGTCCTTACTGAAAATTCCCACTTTGGATGAACACAGAAAAAAGTCTTACGGAGTGCTCTCTTTTGAACCGATAGCACCAAAAATTATGGAACAGTTTGCCTCAATCTTTGAAGGGAATTGAAAAATGATGAAAGATCATTAAAAAAACGTTTAAACGCTTTTCTGTTTAAATAGATTTAAGTAAACCAGTTCCCGGTGAAGTAACATGGATGCCAGCGCTGGCTTATAAATATTTTGAAATTTTGGTTTCATCGTGTAAAATGTATCGATTTCATCGTAATTCTGTAAGTTGCTTAAACCAAGTTGATGGGTTAAACTTATGGCAAATGATATATTATATTTCTCAATCAAAAAAATATCCAATCAATCAATCAAAAAATCAATCACTTCTAGGAAAGTATTTGATTGATTCAATATGATGATTTTAATGGGCAACAGCTAAGTTTTGTGAACTTCTTTCTATTTCTTGTCGTTTCTGAGGAAGGCTTTTAGCCGAAACGTTCTTCATTTTATTGTGCTGTCATCACGTTTCAGGTTTCTGCACATCAGTAATTCCTTCACACAACTTGAGAGCAGCCCTTCATTTTTTGAAATTCTTTAATGACTAAATGCAATAATTTCATTACAAACTGGGTCGTTTCACCCAGGCCTTTGATATTTTTTTGATTGAGAAATATAATATATCATTTGCCATAGGTTTAACCCATCAACTTGGTTTAAGCAACTTATAGAATTACGATGAAATCGATACATTTTACACGATAAAACCAAAATTTCAAAATATTTATAAGAAGCCACCTCCATTTACGGGGTCATTTTAGTCCGAACGGGAAATATTCAAACTAAAAACATGAATTGATTGAAAAGAAAACAATCATCCTTAATTTTTGTTTTTCCTTTTTTTAAAAAATTCTTTTATCTTCTTCTTCTTCTTATATTTGAGGTGCCCACGATCAATTTGTTGATCATTCTGGCTCCTGGTTGAAATTCAGAGTTTGCCTTCTCTTAGATGGGTCCAAGGCTAGCGAGTCCCATCTACCCGGGGTGCTTGGGATGATTTGCTTTTGGTGGGGATTGAACTCCAGACCACCAGCTGTTTGGTTTGAGACCGTTTAGACCGCTCGGCCACCCAGCACCCATCTTATGTAATGTAATTAGATATTTGTCGATATTTTTGTTCGTATTTTTAAAAAAAAATAATAGCATTCCTAACACATCCATCAGAAACAATTATCAGCACAATTTGTCTAAATCTGTAAACGACAAAGTGGGTTCTATGCCGTTAAACTGTTTACCGTGAAATTCGGTTTGAGTGAGTAGCAAGGAAATTAGTTAAATAAACCCAACCATTTGCTGACACGCGACGAATCTTCGACGGTTGCCATGGCGACCACACAAAGCCCTGATATAAACGCGTCACCATGAGATAACGTCACTTCCGAAATGAATTAGTTTTTTTGTTGTTTTTTTTTATGGTACTATGTTCTAAATTCCACCAGTGCCGTATCAACTCCTCTCCACTAGTCTAAAAGTTGAAACTTTAAAAAAAAAAAAAAATTTTTTTCGATGATTTAAGAAAATTGTGATTTTCACCTTTAAAATCTAGACCACCACAACGTATAATTTGGTTGAAATAACCGTGCCTGCTAATAATGAAATTCGGATTTTGAGTAAATGTCAACAATTTTAACGTCAAATGTATTAAGCTACGACGCGTGCGACGGTTCCAAGATTGATACGATTGTTAAATGAAAGGATGTCATCAATAACTTGCACGAATTAAAAGGAGATGAGCTTTTTTTTAAAATTCTGCTGACTTGAACGGAATTATTAAGTTTATGAAAACCAGGTAACATTTGGCGCCCAATGGCATTTTGTTTGTATACAAAGCCATAGCTGCAGCACATCAGAATGGCTGTCTTCGTCATTTTATGAACAGCCAAGTTTATTTTAGTGATAATCCTCTCATGGTTGTGAGAGTTTTTTTTATTTATTATTTTTTTTTTTTTGCTAAGGGGCATTAAAATGATAAGGTGGTACATAAATAGAAGGCTGATCGATTGCAGCTCAAAATATCTCTTATATATATTACGCTTCTGAAGGAGAGCTTCCATTTCCGGCTGTTTCGTATCAAGCTAGCTGCTTCCTATTCAGCAAATTTCGTATTGAGAGTATATTACAAATAAATAAAAAATGTTTGAAAGAAGGAATGATTCAATAATGCGTTCACTAGCGCGCAAAAATATAGTTTCCGATAACTACGTAAAATGATTTTCTTTAAAAAAAAAATAAAGCAATGGCGTGTGGCGCATTATATTTTCTATTCGCAAAATGCAATCGTCTTAATTTAAGTCTAGTGTAAAACATTTTCGCTTTAAGAATATTTAGTATAGCCATGTCCGTGAAATAAAATGTGTGCAGTGACATAGTATGGTGGGGCAAGGGGTGTAGCAAAAATTGTATAAATGTGCGTTACTTAAGTTCATGTTTTGTCAAGTAATTTTAATAGATAAGAAGTCAACGCATAGCTGTCGCCAATGTTTGGCGGTCTAAAATTTCTTAGGGAACAAAGCCAAAATATCTTTTAAAGTGAATATATATATATATATATATTATAAACATAGATTTGTCTTTTACTTAAATAATCTTTTATAATAAAAAAAAAAGTTAAATAAAAAAAGTCATTAAAATTTTTGTTCTTCCCCAAAAAACTCCAATTGCTTCTACTTTATATAAACTTGACGATCAACTGTAGAAAAATGTCGTGCAGGCTCGTAACACTTTTCCTCGTTGGTGGCTACATCGCGGCTCACAGCCTTCAAGCCGCGTCGCTTCCTAGGCAAGATTCCTACATCAAATTAACAGAGCACATTCAAGACTGCCCCGCGGTCAAGCACAGGGTGTCTCCGGCGATCGAGGGGTACAACAGGGTCAACTTGACCTTTGAGCCTTTCCAGATCATCTCCGTGAACGAACTGAGTCAAGCCGTGGCTCTGTCCTCTTTGATAACATTCGAGTGGTTCCTTCTGGGCTGCCAGTGGAACACTTCCGAATACAATGGTAAGTGGAGAAAGTGGAATACCTCCGAATACAATGGTAAGTAGAGTCAGTGGAATAACTCAGAACACAATGATTAAGTTGAGTCAGTGGAATACCACATAATATAATGTTTAAGCTGAAACAGTGGAATACATCAGAATACAATGGTTAAGTTGAGTCAGTAGAAAGTCTCAGAATAAAATAGTTAATTTGAGCCAGTAGAAAGTGTGATAATACAACAGCTAAGTTGAGTTAGTACAAAGTCCCTGAATACAATAGTAAGTCGGATCACAGTGACAAAAAGTTCAGGGAACAGATTATTACTTTTCGTGTAGATGTTTATATTCTTCAATATGGAAATACTTAGCTCAGTGCTTCTCGAACTCCCTAATGCCACGACCTTTAAATACAGCTCCTCATGTTGCGGTGAAACCTCACCATACACTTATTTTCGTGGCTACTACATAATTATATGTTTTATGATTGTCATATAATTGTCTCACAGGTTGAGAAGCGTTGACTTAACCACTTCATTAAATGTTAAGTGCTTTCGGCCGAAATGGTTTTATTTGTTTAGTTCTAAGACCGTTTAGTTCAAATGACTTTAGAATAATAAATGCCACACACAGCACCCGGTATTTTATTTTCTTAATGACGAAATCAATCAAGTCGAGTACGCTTTGAGGATTCAAATTTTCAGAGTTAAATTGTAAAAAAAAATATTATTTTTTTTATAAAGCTGTTGAAGAAATCATATCCCTGTTATGTCTGGATCAAGGGTTCTCACCAAAACAGCGTGAGGAGCCACGGCTTCCTCAAAGAGGGGGGTAGGAGTGGGCCTAGTGAACAAAAAAAAAAAATCCTTAACATTTTCAGAAGGGGCGTCATGGCTCGAAAAAATTTAGGGAAAATCTGGTCTTGAGGTTAATTTTTTTTTTTATCCCGTAGACATCGCGACAGTAGACGTGGACACATCCATCATGTGGACACCCGTGATCACAAACCCAAAGAGCATGGACCAAACCCAAGTTACCATGACGAATACAGCCAGCGTGAGTGACAGTTGAAGTTGTTGTTGTTTTTTTGTTAAATTAAATATGCAATTTATGAAGAGTGGTTTCAGTTACAAACTAACAAAAGAAATTTCTGTCTGTATAATTCATATACTTTTTGGATGAAAATAAAGATAAAATATATCAAAGAAAAGCTAACTTAACGAAAATACGATGCCTTTATGAAGAGTAAATTATTTCCCCCCAGCGACAGTCGTCGTCCCCCCCCCCCTTTTTTTTTCCTCCACCGCGAAATCGCCGATATAATTGAAAACCAACGTATTGACTTGAGTTGCTGAATTTTTTAACCAAATATTGAGTTTGTTGTCAGACGTACTGAGCAGGAGTTAATCTTGGTGAGAAATTTTAATATTCTCAATTTGCTACCATCAAAAGCTGACGTTTACCACTCACACGCTGTACGCTTGAAGAGAAACAACCAAAAAAAGCTGGGGATTAATTTTGAATACCTATTTATAAAACTTGATTTTTTTTTAAAAATAAAAATTTATTCTAAACATAATTTAAATAGAAATTCGTTATTGGAAAGAAAAAAAAATTTAACCAATCAAATTAAAAAAAAAAAAACTTTAATTGTTTATTAGACATCAAAATGTATTAGCGCACGTGTCTTCCATCATTAGACATTATACTATAAATATGCTTTAAACAATTAAAATAAAGGTATCATGTTTTGTTAACTTCAATTTTTGATTTTTAAATTTAAAATTTTAATTTTTTTCAAATGTATTTCCTTTTATGGGCTTCAATCCTTCCCGTACAGGTGACAGCCGACGGAAAGGTAACTGTCAGATCCCCCAGCCGGGTGATCACCGCGTGCCACTTGAATCTCGAGAAATACCCGTTCGACGCCCACCACTGCACCATTCCTTTCCTGTCGGTCGCCAAGATAGACGTCTACCCTCAGGTGGTCGAGCCCCAATCCTATTTGCTGGAGACCTACTTCAGCACCAGCGCTGAATGGCGCCTGCTGGAACACAGCTGCACTGCGAAAGAGGTATGGCGCGCAAAAAAAAAAAAAAAAAAAAAAAAAAAAACTTGGCTTCGAAAACGTTTTATTTTAAATTCAGTTTTTGTTCAACGTATTTTTTAAATCCTTTAAATGAAATCGCTTTTGTATGTCTTCTTTTAGATCAACATATAGGAGGTTTAAATGATCCACGCCCGGTCAAGTTATCTAGCTGAAACTTTGCACATAGTTGTGATGCTAATTACAACGCATTCTGTCAAATTTTTCAAGCCCAACCCCGAATTTAAAACAAAAAAACGAAACAGTTTTTATTCTTGTTCTAGGGAAGGATGATAGAAGCATGTTGCCACTTAAGTCATGAAATAAAAATCTCGCTATCTGTGCTTAATGATTTCAACAACAACAACAAAATTTCCCTAGTGAGTTTAATGCGTAATAAATTTTTTTTAAAGTATATTTAAAATATATATATATAAGATAGATATAAAGAAAGATATAATGATATATATATAAAGATAGATATTAAGATATTTATAAACATAGATATAAAGATGGATATAAAATTTATATAACTATATATATAAAATATATATAAAATATAAATATAAAGAGAGAAATAAAGAAATATATAAATATATATATATATATATATATATATATAAAGATAATATAAAGATAGATATAAATATAGATATAACGATAGATGTAAAGATACATATAAAGATAGATATTACGATATTTATAAAGATAGATATAAAGATGGATATAAAATTTATATAACTATATATATAAAATATATATAAAATATAAATATAAAAGAGAGAAATAAAGAAATATATAAATATATATATATATATATATATATATATATATATATATATATAAATAAAATATAAAGATAGATATATATATAATTATATATATATATATATATATAAAGATAATATAAAGATAGATATAAATATAGATATAACGATAGATGTAAAGATACATATAAAGATAGATATTACGATATTTATAAAGATAGATATAAAGTTAAATATAAATATAGATATAAAGATAGATATAAAGATAGATATAAAGATAGATATAAAGATAGATATAAAGTTGATATGAAGATATATATAAAATAAATATAAAAGATAGATATAAAGATAGATATGAAGAGAGATATCAAGATAGATATAAAGGGAGATACACATTTAGATATAAAGATAGATAGATATTGACTTGAACAGATTTAAATGGATGCAATCACTAATGTTACTATTTTTAAAAAAAAATCAAACACAGAGCAAAAAGAATGCCCGTAAAATGAGAGCTGACAAGAGTAAATGAATGAAATGTGAAATAACTCTTCACAAAAAGCTTTTAACGCTGTGTTTGTGATTGTGTGTTTGCTTGTTTGCTGTTCTTGTCATCAGTTATCCATTAGTAGCCCGCTGTTATCCTGTTCACGACGCCCAATACGAAAATTAAAATTTAACCAGGTTTGGCCTTTTTTGTTGTTTTTTTGTTGCCATTGGTGGTTCTCATATCATGTATGTACAACTACCAACGGTTTTAATCAATTTGTATTTCGCCAGTCTATCATTGGACTATACTCTCGATGGACAAAAATCAATATACTAATATGTAGATACTAACAAAATATTTGTCAATTTCAAATCCTTACATTGTATGAGGTCTAAGACTCGGTGTAACAACTAGTAAAACTAATTTACGTGGTCATCTTTTAAAATAAATATAAAATTTAAAATTAAAATTGACATGATTTAAAAAAATATATATATTTTCCTTTCACCTTAGGCTGAAAGTATGAATATAGTGTACACAGAATGTACGATCTATATGGAGAGACGCAGCGCCTTCTACGTGGCGACACTCGTCTTCCCCATCGGCCTCATGTCCTTCATGACGCTCCTGGTCTTCTGCATACCCCCGGACTCCGGGGAGAAAATGTCCTTCGTCATCTCCATCTTCGTCTCCATGACCGTCTTCATCAACTTCGTGGTCGACGTCATCCCGAGAAGCATGGACCGGTTCCCCAGAATCCTCCAGCTCATCGTGGCGGTGATCATTAAGATCGCCGTGACCACAGCCGCGACAGCTTACGTGCTGCAGAAGCACCGCCGGGAAAAGAGAAAAGACTTCGAACACGAGTGCCGCGCTTGTAAAGATTCGCGTGTCCCGACGCCGGAGAAACCTTTGGAGGGAGAGTTTGAGACGCCGAAAAAGAAATTCATGGAAGACGTGGACGGAATCGAGTCTGTGATATTGGAGAAGGGAAATGGCCACCATCATGGGGTATCGACTGGTCAAATGTGGAACAAAGTCGATTCTGAAGTATCTTCCACGAGAGTCAAGCACACCGGATTTACTAACGGAGATGCGAAGGCAACCAGGCCTGGTTGGTTCTGTCGGATTGCCTGTATCGATATCGATACGAAATTCTTCATCTTGTTTTTAATTGCAGACGTGGTTGTCTATGTCTTCGTTTTGTATTAAATTAAAGCACAAGTTGTTTTTTTTTTGTTTTTTTTTTTGTTTTTGGGTTGTAATTCCAACATATATATAAACACAACACAGGGTTGTAAAGAAATGTTCGGTTTTAATGCATGGGCTGGCTGGCATTTAACATTTTTGTCCGTTTGTGGACTGGGGCTACATTGCTAATTTAGATATTTATGTTTAAATTGGTACACCATTCCTAGAGTTTGAGAAGCTGATTAAGAATTTTCATTGAAAGAGCACCAGAACATCCTAAAGTTTTTCACAAAAAAAGTGTTAAACGAAAGACAACCTGTTTTTTTTTTTTTACTAACCATAAACAGAGTTCTTATTTCGTGAACAAAATTGGAAGGGCGGAGTAGAGGAGTGGGGGGTTGAGCCCCATCTCATGTGACAGTAACCCTAACTACCCCACTGACAAACACACTTCATAAATATTCAAGTATGGTGATGAGGAAATGTTTGTAAAATTTTATTCCACTTTTCAGCAGCAACCGTCAAGCATTTTTTTCGAACAAAATTCATTTATTACTAGCGTCCTCCTCCTCCTCCTCATCATCATCATGTCCCTTAGTCCTTGGACCATTGGGGCGCGCCACAGATGACATGTGAACTATCCTCCTCTATTTGTCTCTGTCGTCTGCACTACGCACAGCATCACCCAATTTTAGTCCCATCCACTCTTTGATATTATTTTTCCATTTTTTTCATTGTCTTCCCCTTCTTCAACCTCCTCTCGTTGTGCCCTGCGTGTATTGCTAGCGTATCCTAACAGTAATCGCAGCACTTAAGCCTAGAGCCGAGCCTCAAACGTTGTACCCAGTACAACTCGCACTTGCCAGGCCCAGTATTTGCCAGCACTGACCCCCACATTTGCCAGCACCGACCCGAATTTTCCAGCAGTGACAGCACTTCTCACCTATGGATCAGATCATGGACGGCATGTTCTGTTATAGCTCTGAGACCATTGACGTGTCACCCTCAGATCGAGTGGAGTTTCTTAGTTCAACATACACGGGTCCTTGGAGCCACATTATCAGATACTATTTAGACTTTCAGAAATATTTTGACGACCACGTAACAAGGACGGCACTTAGGAGTAGAACAGTACGGCTCATCACTATACATACACCAGAAACCTAAACTATGGGCTTTCAATACTGGCTGCGAAGACTAAACATTTACGAAATGTTCGTTTTCAAACACGCTACCCTCTCCTTTTAATTTCACTTAATGTGAATTCATAATATTTTAGACGATATTCTGTCAACTTTTATTACTTCTGTTGAGTCATTTTTTTCTGAAATTGCATTACCCTTGATAATATGTTCGTTTGTCTTTTAAATATATAATTAAATATACGTTATATTATGATCTCGCCCGAATAAACCGTGTGGCTCTTGCTAAAGAATGTTTTGGTAAGGATTTTTTGTTGTTGATTTGTTTATATTATGATTAACATAGGTGTTACTTCTGTTCCTATAATATGCAATATACATACACATTTTACTTGTCCAAATCAAGATTTCAAAATAATTTTTAAAATATATATCAACGATAGTCCTTGTGTGTCCCTAAAACAGCATCGTGGGTTAAAAAAAAAAATTGCACCCTAGGCAAGGCTGTACCATGGCGCCCCCTCTGGCAATAAATGATTTTGGATAGTGTATTGACGACGTTCGTTGGTGACCACCAGTGAATGGTGTTCGGGAGGGGGGGGGGCGGCTACCCCCATTCACCCCTCTCTGCGCAAGATCCTGAAAGCATTATAAATATCGAACCTTCTTAAAGCAATGACCTATATATTTTTTGCCGTTCCGTCATCCGCTTGAAACCAATGTTCAGTCTGTACATATATCTATCAAAGCTAGCCACGCGTTGCATGCTCCGGACTCCGAACACGGATGTGCACACTGATTTATGCCTTGATCAATACAAAACACTGAACGCGCCACTGCGCGGACGTCTGAGCTAACGAACCCTCTAAGGGACGATAACCGTTCCGATCTACGCCACGAATGAATTGAAAAGAAATGCTGAAGTGTTTAAGGCAATAATCTGCCAACTGAAGACTTCTATGAACAAAATCTTTTGATTGTGTTGTTTTTTGTTTTTTTTTAATGGAAAAAAAAAATCAATCTCGGATACCTTGTTTTTGGTTAAGGACGATTACATGGAGCCCACCTGGGAGACTCTAGCACAATGTTTCTCGAAATGTGGTTGGCGTACCCCTGTGGGGACGAGAAGAGTTTGTTGGGGGTACGCGGTGCAAAGGAACACAATAAATATTTTCTTATTGTTATTAAAGAAAGTGCAATTTTTTTTTTTTAACATTGGGGTACCAAGTGTTACGAAAATAGCATAGGATCTTTCTGTTAGGCTAACTACCATCACATCGATCTATGGAATTTCTAGCCAGAAAGCAGTGGAAGCGTGTTTTCAATAAATTTGATGAGCTATCGCCCGGGCTTGTCGAGTCCTGTCAACACAACGTCTAACTCTTGCTTTGTTTGTCTTCTATTGAAATCTGGGAGTTTGTCTCGATATCAAAGTCTGTAAAGGTTACAACGTTTGTCTCTGTATCGAAGAATTTTTGGTTGATATGCTAGTCGTGGTATTGAAGGCGAAAAGGGTATGAGTTATTAAATGTTTGTGATTTCATCTATACATAGTTGGTGGTTATGCATGATTCATGGTATCACTGGATAATTATAAAAATTTTGAATTTAGATCATTACAGTATTAAAAAATATAATATCTATTATTTTTTATTGCATTACAAATTCTGTACATATATTGGACATTATATTATTATATTGACTTTGAAGTTTTCAAGCACCAAATAGATTGACATGTTCAAAACAATGGCATGATTTTTTCTTAGGTGGGGGTGGAGGGTTGTGATATTTTTCTGCTTTTTCTTTTTGTTGCATTACAGGACATCCATAATTTCAAATATTTCGTATTACCCGTTATTGAGATAATAATGAAAAGTAGGAAGAATAATAAAACTTTTTTTTTTTTTAGTCAACAACTTTCAAACATTTTCAACTCCCACCCCCCCCCCCTCCATTTTGTCCACGTAATTAATGGACAACCCCAAAACAATATTTCATCTTTTTTTATATTGTTAAACTTTTATCTAATGTAAATCATTTGTGGGATTTGCTGTTCTTACTTTCATAAATGTATTTTATTTTAATGTCATTATTATGTCTCTTTTGATAAAAAATTTTATGTACAGCGCGGTGAGCCCAGCCTTAGGCTGGGGTACCGTGCTATATAAGACGTCTTATTATTATTATTATTATTATTATTATTATTAAATGAGGAGAGACGCTGTTAAGAGGGCCCTTAGCGCAAAGTGCGGCGTTATAGAGTAGAGTTTGTCATGGCAATGAAACACCCAAAAGTATCTTCTTCTTCTTCTTATATTTGAGGCACCCACGATCAATTTGCTGATCATTCTGGCTCCTGGTTCAAATTCAGAGTTTGCCCTTCTCTTAGATGGGTTACCGTCCAAGGCTAACGAGTCCCATCTGCCCGGGTTGCTTGGGACGTTGGCTTTGGTTCGGGATTGAACTCCGGACCACCGGCTATTTGTTTTGAGACATTTCGCTCCCAGGCACACAATCAATATTGCAATACGGTTTCTTTACCATAAATACCAAACCAAAAAATAAAATAAAATACCGCTTACATTCATTTATTGTATAACTGTTTGTGAGCCTTAAAAGTTAAACATTAAGTTTATCGTAAGAGTAAGTTTAAATGTCTGTGCCCATCACGCTTTCATCGATGACATATCAATCGTTCGTTTACACTGGTTAAGGGACACACACGATTAATAACAAACACCTAGGCTTATCTTATGCTGTGACTTCTTGATTCTGACAAATGTGGGGTGGAAAAACCGGGGGGGGGGGTCTTGGTTGATAGGCAGTAAGACCTATTCATAGACACGGTATTGACGTCATTGTTTTTTTTTTTCTTTAATTGCTCATAATTGTTACATAGGCGTAGCACTAACTAAAACATATTAATTTGGATCAAAAGTGTCTGTTTTAAAAATAATTATTACAGTAGTTTGGATCATTAGGGTGAATTAAGTTGAAAGTTTAGACCAGGCATTGACAGCTCTAAACAGACTGTTTTGATTTTATGCACTCGGTCAAAGTTAAAAATGCAATGATTATATATATATACTTTATACTGTTCTCAGTGTGTGTTGACAAACTAAGGTATATGCCACAAAACACCAGGATGACTTTTACGCACCGGTACTCACAGGTACCTGTTAAAATTAGATCCCGTCAAGATATTAAAATTGGTAAAATAAAAAAAAATAATTAAATGACAGGCGATACAGCTTCATAATTTTAGTTAACCCACACATGTCACATAATAGCAGTTACTAAATTAATTTTTCTTCAACTTCTTAAATTGGCAATCGGGAGAACGCCTTCGTTGTCAGTAGCACGATCTCATTTAGTACGCATACGCCATCAGTCATTAGGCGTGTTAGCACGACTTGGGGGGGGGGGATTTCCCTATTATGATAATATTAATTGCGTCTAGTTGTGTAGTTTAAAACCCATTTGTGTTCCATAATGTCTTAAGTGGATAGCATACGGTTTTTTTATTAATAAGTTATATTTATCAAAGGCCTGGTCTTTACGGTTTGAAGTCATCATTTATGCTCTAGGAAAAAAAAAATTATTATCGCTTTTAGTAATACTTTTCTTTCAAAATATGTTGTTTTTTTTCTTTTAAAATTACAAGACGAGAACTTTATATTTAAAGTTGTACTAAATTTTCAAGATCATATGATTTATATAAGACCGTTGCATTTACTATTATTTTATTTTTTAAATAATAAGTAAAAAAAAAATTGAAATTAAAATCAAACAT